TTTTTTTTTTTTTTTTTAAGTAAAGAGAAACTAATTTTATTAATTTCAAATTAAATTTAAATTCGAACGCGACGCGTTCGTAAAATATGTAATTTTTTTTTTTAAACAGAAACATCAAACTATAAGAAGAAACCAATGTTATTAATTTCTTAATAGAAATTAAAAAGATATATAATAAAGCAAATTGCGGATTTATTTCAGTGGGAAGTGATTTTTTTGATCACCCTATGTATAAAATTAAATCTACATTTTCTCATCGCGGGAACGTTTTTTAACTATTTTACTATTTTGTTAGATCCTAATGAGAAAGTTGTTTCACATTTGTTGAATCTTTGGTAAAAAAAAAAGATATCTTTCTGGAATGTAAGTACGTGTCCCTCTTATCGAGACCGGAAGGATTAACCTAGTTCCGAAGAAAAAGATCTCTCCCATTTTTTTAAATATGTTCGTAACATGATCGAAGAACGTTCGGGTAAATCTTCACAAAAAGGATGCTTCTCTTTTCTCAAGGTAGCTGCAACGTGAGAACAAGCACGTATCACACGTAGCCGATGATGCCCTCGAACATGCCAACTCATTTTCAGAGTTCTTCCGAAAACTCGAAAGCACGCTACGAATGGCGCGCAACACGCGAGGTATTTAAATAGGAAGAATATTTGAACGATCGAAGGAGAGGCTAGCAAACTCGGAATTTCACTTTTGGAACATAGTCGAGGTCGAGGCTTTATTATAAGATCCTCCTCAAATTCTCGACGATCTTTGCTTCATTTCGCTTTGAATCATTCGCGTGAAACTCTAAACTAGTCGATTTATTTATCCTCGTGTATTTTTTTTTTTTTTTGTTTTTTCGTTCAATTCTTTCGCGCTTGTACATATTTATAATTCGATAATTTCACGATAATTAATCATACTAATTAATATCTCTGTTGTTGAACGTAGGTGTGCCTCGATAGATGAACTCTCTAGAGATGATGACAATTTGAATTGATAAAGAGAAAATAAAGGAAAAAAAGAGTCGAGATCGTGTGACAAATTGTTTCTACATGGCTGAAAACAGAATGAACGTGGCAATAATTATTGAAAAATATCTTTCGGCAATTGACTCGATGTTGAGTCTCGTTCACGAGATAACAAAACATTTCTAATTAATCAACGTCTCTTGAGCAAGCTTCGTGACTAATTGAACTGACTCTTGAATTAAACGGTCATTAATAGGTGGCAACAGTTCTGAAATAACATCGGCTATCTATATTCTCATTCACAAAGGTAAAACATTTCCTTCTGGCGAATAGTCAGAGATTTTTTTCACACGACCATTTGTACCATTTCCAAATTGCATAGCCACAGTTGAAATAGAAATGTATGCATGCACCTGAGACAG